CCGTTAAAAAAAGTACTTGGTTCAATTACGTAGTTTACCAAAAGGTTAATTTTGTTTGCCTGCTAGGATTTCTTTTAACATTGAATACATTTTCAAGACCTGTACTCAACGAGGTGCACTTCTTGCGATTGTTCTGCAATCTAGCGAGTCCTTCGGAAAAACGTCACCGAGAGCAGAGCTAAGACACTATTCAGAAGCAAGTATTTTCTAGGTTTGAAATTCCCTTCGGTTCCATTTGACCGTGAGTAGAGTTTAGAATTCACGAAGAAAGCGTATTTTAGCCAAAGGCAGAAGATTCGTATTTGAACGGAGCGCAGCGAAATAAGGTAATATTCTTTCACGCGAAAATAAAAAAAAAAGGGTTAATAGATAACTTCCAATTTGTTTTTTCTCGCGCAAGTAACAAAAATGTTCCCTTCCCTGTCCCCATCCAATCGCACTTCAACCAGTCGGGGGAGGTGAGTATAGAATTGTTAACAAATCATCAGAAGGCTTGGTTACCTAGTTGAGCCTGGTATCTAAGCTCCTTCAGAAAGTGATCCCAAAAAAAATTTCTGCTCGCGTAGATGAGTAAGCACCCTCCCCCCCATTCCCCTTAAAAACAATGGTTACTCACCAGCGTGACCAAGGATAATCAATGTAGCTCTTTAATCTCATTTACATCATTGGTGTTTAATCGATTCTGGAAAAAATTCCTATTATTCTCTCTATACTTCACTTTTATCATCATATTATCATGTGTGACTTGCTTATACCTGGGCGACCTGATATGACCTACCGTTACCCCGTGGAATCGTATCGGTTAATTATCACATTTTATTCATAATTTCAAGTGCATTGTTTCTTCCACGCGGGCAATACTACGCCATTTTCGGTTATGCTTTAACATCAAATATGGAAAAGAAAGGTTATGGCTGCAATAAACATGAAAGTTTCGACGCCTTGATGGATTTCTATGAAAAAGGTGCGTCAGAATACGATGAGGTAAGCGAACTCAGAAAGTAATTAACATATTGAATGATTTTCAATCGGCTGCTTCACTAATGCTCAGACGTGCATTACAGCGCAAATTTGCATAAACCTAGACAAAAAATAGATTCCGACTCGAATTTTACAGTTTAGTTTAATGCCACTTGCTACTTCACTCCTGTATGTAAAGAAACAACGATTCATGTTTAACAACTCCGCGAGCTCCTGATTCAATGTGCCTTTATGCATCTGTGTAGATACTGGAGTGACCTATGTTTTGAATCATAATAGTTTTTTGTGTAAAGATTTTTTCCAGTTACCGTTGCCCTTTCGCTTTGATATAGAGAGGAAAGTCTGGACATGGCTTGGGCTAACGACAAATAATCGAGGATAACGGTTAACTTGAACAGTAATTGTAAAATAACTTCCAATTTTCAAGTGATGTAACAAATTATTGATCGATCAGTCTCCTCAATTGAAAGTCATGCCAGTGAACAATGGCAGCATGAATGTCGCATATGGTCCGACTCAGCCGTTCTATAACGTAGAAATTAAAAATTGTCGAGTTCAAATCGACACCTTTCCACAGTAAACCTCGCGAGTGTTATCGTTGCCACTTTCTCTTCTTTACCAAAGCATGAGACTGTCACATATCATGTCACGGTTTTTCCTGATTGCGTGACGGCCGATACATGAAACGTGTAAATAATTCTCAAATTATATTAAAGTTCACACGGCAACCAGGTGGACAATCAGACATAGTTTGATACTACAGTGGTTTGCAGACTTAATGAATGTAACCGAAGAAGTTACAATTCATAGACCCAACGTTTCGACACTCCTGTCCAGTGCCTTCATCAGGGGTAGAAGAATTAAATCTGCAAACAAGTGTAGCATCAAACTATGTCTAATTCTCAAATTCTCAGTGGAAACAGCCATGATCCTTTTCAGTGTCTTTCGTTATTTCCTTCGAAAGATTTAGACTGTGAACTGTCATGAAGAAGAATTCTTGTTATTTTGTTGCCTGTTTATTCGTGGCCTCGAGTTCTGTTTGGGTCATGTCACGCAAGTTGGCTTCTTGACAGGAAAAGAAAGGGCCAATTTCGACAATAAGGTTCGTTTAAGAAGGTTGTACTGCTTCGTTTCGACATTTAACTTTACAACTGCTCTCACATTAATTTCACGGCTTTCTCTTGACATCATTTTTCAAAGAAAATTTGTTTGGCCAAAATCTCCTCGAGTTATTTTGGAATCTCTGTTTCCTCCACAGCCAAGTGGTTGTAACATTTCAGTAACAGTTACACGGTAGAATCTGATTACGAGATTATTAGTATGCATCAACCTGCAACACTGACACAAATACTTTGTGGTTGAGTGTTGAATAGCATTGATTAATTGTCGAAGAAAGTTCCACTCTCAATGAACCCACTTCAGCATAATTTCCCGGTGCATTGCAGTTTTAATAATATGGGAGTAATGTAAAATGAACCATTAAGGGGAACGGATGCCAAAATAGAATGTAAAGCAGGTGTACTTTTGGCAGGCGAGTGCTCACTATTATCTCGAAGAAAATTTTAACTGCCACCTCTGATTTTCAAAACGGCGGAAGGCTGGGGAGATAAGTAATTTGCACCAAGGGGGCAAGCGACGGCCAGAAAGGAGAGGGGAAGGGGCTGGACAATAAATTAGAATAGATTTTTGAAAATGTGTTACACGGAACCAGTAGGTGCATTCGTTATGGAGAACTACATGTTTTCTCAGACCCTAACGTTCCATAATACCCTTATCTCCCAAATGGCTAAGCAACCTTCCCTCCCCTTCCTTACCTTCACTTCCTTGCGTGACCATGCATATAATCAACTTTTCATTCATAAGCACCCTAATCTCATAACATCTTTGATACTCTGAAGGCCCGTTTGAATAGTTTAAACATTTGCTTCAAGATGCATTCAACACTTTATTGAACTAAATGTTCGGTGCGTTTGAACAGGTCGTTTGAACAGGTCGTCCAACATTGTTGAAAGTGTAAAAATACTTGAAAGCTTGTTGAAAGCGTGTTGAATCGAGTTTAAAATTTCATTTAACATCGATTCAACTTTTCCTTTGTTCTCGAAAATGTTGAATGGCCCGTTTAAACGGTTTCCAAATTTGCTCAACATCCGTTAACTTTTTTTGAATGAATGTTGATCAAATGTTCAAACTGTTTGAACATGCCTTAAGAGAGGATATTCAAATTTGCCCGATACTTCAATATTATCATACTATGACGTAACACTACTGCAGGGAATCTTTAAATGTAAATGTTGCCTATGATTTTTTATTTATTGTTTCGGGAGCTTTTTTCAGAGCTCATAGAACCCCGATCCACCCTATTCTTATACAAGTAGTTCCACCTTTTCTCGAGGAAAGCAACCCAGTGAACATAATTCAAATGAGTGGTGAAGCAGCCTGGAAATGGAGAGTGTATTACTGGCTGCCTCGTAGAGTATTTTATTCACTCCAAGCGAGCATCATGCCTCTCGGCTGCGAGCTAAATGAATCGGTAAAATTTCCGCACGGCCCCATACTACTCTCAAAGGCAATCTATTGTTTTCGTCATTGTTATCTCTATCCAAGAACTGAATGCATAATTTATTATGGGGCTGTGCGGAAATTTTACCAATGAATCCTCGAGCGATCGCGTTGGTCGCACAGTCGGCAAAATATATAGAGATTTAAGCGCAAGATGGACTCAATTACAAGTGGTAAACAGAGGCAGAAAGTGCGAGCCGAGACGTGGGTTAAAATTACAATAAACCCTGAGGAGATCGCACTAACACCAAGTGATATATTGGCAAGGGTGACGAAAGAGAGCAACTACCTAGGCGGTAGAACTAATTAATGCATAAGTTCACTCTTCACTCAATGTTTACCTTTTATATCGTTTCAGAGTGACTTACTCTGACTTACTTGTAGGAAAATTGTGCGGGTGGATTTTTTTCAAAGAAAATCAAATCCTAAACGGGTAATGATAGAACAAAAGTGTTTGTTGAGTAAGATACAGAAAGAGATGAATATATAAGGGACAGTTTCAAAACAGAGTACTATTCCAGGTTGTAACACACGCACGCAGTGTTTGATATTCTTCTAACAATAGCATAAAAAATAACTTTCTAAGCTATTGTTTCTTAGCTCGGCCTAGACAAATTAAGGAGCTAAAGCAATATTCTCTGAGGAGGAATGCGTGCGTAATCTTTGACCAATCAAAGCTCTAGAATACGTTTCGCAGCTAATATTACGGATCTATAATTTTTTTTCTACTGCTAGTAAATGTCTCGAAAACAGTAGGCATTCTGCGTGTTGTCTTATTTGCAAGAAAAACTACGCCGTATTTTCTTTACGAGCGCTTCTCTCTAGCATCAAACATGGAAAAAGAGGGGTATGGCTTTAACAAACACGAAACTTTTGACGCTTTAATGGCTTGCTATGGGAAAGTTGCTTCAGAGTACGATGAGGTAAATGAAATCAGACAGTATCTTTTCCAGTCGACTACTTCCCTGATTCTCAGACGTTCATTTCGCGATAGAGATGAATTTGTTCTAACCCTTTTGATTACTTATGTTGTGCAGTTTTTAGCCTTTAATTCTATACTTGCGTGCGCACAAGGCATATAGTGCGTTTAACAACTCCGCTAGCGTTTGATTTAGCTTTAGTGCTTCTGTTTATTTGTGCTTGCGCTTGATTTTTTTAAAAATAATTTCTAAAAATACTCCAGGGAATAGGCAAAAGACTTATTTCTGAGTCATGGCCGTTTTGGACATTAAAAAATATATATATATTGCTTGATTACTGGCGGCATTTCGTTATGATATAAAGAGGAAAACCTGACTATCATGCATTTAAGGCGACAAAAGAATCGATAACCGTTAACTCGAACGGTTTTTGTCAAATTCCTTCCTATATCTGTTAATGGTTTTTTAATTCATTGTTTCTTATTCGCAAGCAAAACTACGCCGTATTTTCTTTGCGTGCGCTTCGCTTTAGCATCAAACATGGAAAAAGAGGCGTATGGCTGCAAGAAACATGAAACTTATGACGCTTTGATGGCTTGCTATGAGAAAGCTGCTTCAGAGTACGATGAGGTTAAAGAAATCAGACAATATTATTTTCAATCGGCTGCTGCCCTGATTCTCAGACATTCATTTGGCGATAAAGGCGAATTTATTCCAACCTTTATAATTACTTACGATGTGCAGTTTTTAGCCTCTAGTTTCATAATTGCACGCGCTCAATGCATATAGTGCGTTTAAGAACTCCGCTGAAGTTTGATTTAGCTTTAGTGCTTCTTTTTATTTGTGGATGTGTTTGTTTTGTTTTGCTTTGTTTTTTTTAATTTCCAGTGAAACCTCCAGCGAATACACGACTGACTTACTACTGAGTCAGAGCCATTTTTGGCGTTTAAAAAAAAATTTAACGTTTGGTTACTGGCGCCATTTCGTTATGATACAAAGAGGAAAACCTGACCATCATTTAAGGCGAGAAAAAAGAATCGATAACCGTTAACTCGAACGGTTTTTGTCAAATTCCTTCCTATATCTGTTAATGGTTTTTCAATTCATTGTTTCTTATTCGGAAGCAAAACTACGCCGTATTTTCTTTGCGTGCGCTTCGCTTTAGCATCAAACATGGAAAAAGAGGCGTATGGCTGTAACAAACATGAAACTTATGACGCTCTGATGGCTAGCTATGAGAAAGCTGCTTTAGAGTACGATGAGGTTAAAGAAATCAGACAATATTATTTTCATTCGACTGCTTCCCTGATTCTCAGACGTTCATTTCGCGACAAAGACGAATTTGCTCCAACCCTCACTAATGTTGTGCAGTTTTTAGCCTTAAGTTTTATACTTGCATGCACACAATTCATATCATGCGTTTAGCAACTCCACTAGCCTTTGAAGAAGCACTAAAACTAGATGATTTAGCTTCAGTGCTTCTGTTTATCTGTGGTTGCACTTGAATAATTTCTAAAAAAAAATAGATAACCGAAAAAAAAAGAATTGATAACCGTTAACTCGAACGGTGTCTGTCTAATTCCTTCCTATATCGGTTAAAGATTCTTTAATTCATTGTTTCTTATTCAATGCAAGCTAAACTACGCCGTATTTTCTTTGCGTGCGCTTCGCTACATAACACACGATGCTTATGACGCTTTGATGGCTTACTATGAGAGCGCTGCTTCAGAGAACGATGAGGTAAACGAGATCAGACAATATTATTTCCAGTCGGCTGCTTCCCTGATTCTCAGACGTTCATTTCGCGATAGAGACGAATTTGCTCCAACCCTTATGACTACTTATGTCGTGCAGTTTTTAGTCTTTAGTTCTATACTTGCATGCGCACAATGCATATAGTGCGTTTAGCAACTCCGCTAGCTTTGATTTAGCTTTAGTGCTTCTGTTTATTTGTGTATGCGCTTGATTTTTTTAAAAATAATTTCAAAAAATACTCCAGCGAATAGACAAAAGACTTATTTCTGAGTCATGGCCGTTTTGGACATTAAAATATATATATATATATATATATATTGCTTGACTACTGGCGGCATTTCGTTATAATATATAGAGGAAAACCTGACTATCATGCATTTAAAGCGACAGAAAAGAATCGACAACGGTTACCTCGAACGGTTTCTGTCAAATTCCTTCCAGTATTCAATTGCTGTAACGAATTATTACTTAATCGCTCTTTTGAAGTGAAGGTCATGACAACATACAAAGACAACGTGAAAGCGAAGCCGCGGATAAGTCGCATATTTTCAACCCGCCGTTTTATAGAAGGAGCGTGGTTGTTGGAAAGTGTTGAATTCAAATCCATACCTTTCATCAACGAAACTCGTCTTTTACCACTTTCTCTTCGGCCGGTTGTTGGTCGTCACCTCGAGGTTCTTCATAATTGCATGATGACCGTTGCATTACACAAATAATTATTCTAAAACTGTTTGTGAAAACAGCATCTTTTATGGTATCTTTGTAGAAAAGACCTTCATTCTTAGAGAGAGGAAGACTTCTTGTCATTTTGTTGCCTGTTTGTTCGTGGAGTCTTAATGAAATTCTTTTTTGGGTTACATCATGCATATGGTGGCACATTGTAATTTCGGTTGCAAGCTTGTCGCTAAAGCAGGCTTCCTGTTTAAAGAAAAAAAGGAAAAAGAAGAATTCCGACCATAGGTTCGTTAAACAAGGTTGTGACGAGCTTCACATAGAGGTTTATCTTTATAACTATACCCACATTAATTTTTAGGCTTTATTATGACATTATTTTGTACAGAAGATTGTTTGGACCAAAATCTCATTTGGATCATGATTTCTCTTTTCCTCCGATGTAACAGGCGCTTGAAGGGATTTTCGTTTCTTACTTTTCACCTCGACTATTGAGTTGGGTGGAGTGCGGGGAGGTGAGGATGAAGCGGAGCAGATCTGATCAAGTGTCTAAATCCATATGCCTCTGTCCCCGCGTGACAGCCCTAGGTGGCCTATAATTGTAACTTTACGTAATGCTCTCTCCTTTTTTATTTCTTTTTCTTGGTGTAACAAAGGATTGGTCCATGCTTAGCGTGCGTATATCGAGTTAAGAATGAGTGCAGGACGAGAGACGAGTAAGAGTTGCAATTTCTGACGTTTGAGTGACAAGAGAACGAATTAGTCAGAAATTAATATTCTGACGCACGTTGAAGAGGTTCGCATGGCAACACGGTAGTTTCGGATTATTTAAGCGTTTCGCGGGGAAAATTAAGTCATTCTACGTCGGTCAATCTAAAAAGCTAAACTCAACGAGAACTTGCAGCTGATGTGATGAATGCATGGCTGTGCAATACATAAAGATTTTTACGATGGTTGCTCCTAAGAAATAGATAGGCTTTGCGCGCGCACTATGTCATTAGATGTACTGTCACCAGATATCTTTTAGTATATACCACACAGGTAAAAAGTGATTGGCCAAGTATTATACACCTCTGAGCAGCGGAAGAGCGTCAAGAGATTAATTTCCGACCATTGTTCGGTATATTGGCAGAGAATTTTTTTTTTTTTTTACACGTGGTATATGCTAAAACAAGTATTTACCTCCTCGTTGAAAGTGGTGGATATTTGCCTTGTCACATCGCGGTACGGTAAATATCCACCTCCATCCACCCCACCTCGAAGCGTAATTGTTGAATATTACTTTTTGAATTCCATAGGATGTTAAAGTTCACAGAGGGTACATCGGACACGAAACCGCGACAGAAAGGTTGGTAACAACTCTAAAACAGCTTGAATTTCCGGAAGATTGCAGAATCCTTGACGTTGGCGCGGGGACCGGGCTGGTCGGAGTGGAGCTTTGTAAAAGGCAGTTTACCAACGTGGATGCCTTAGATGCGTCAGATGCCCTTCTCAAAGAAGCCGAAAAGAAAGGAATCTACAAGAATTTCTTTGTTGATTTCCTGGGTCCTAATCAACGGATACAGTTGGACGACGACTGCTATGACGTCGCTTTTGCCGTTGGCGTGTTTACTCTAAACCACGTGAAGGCGGAAGGCGCCATGGATGAAATGGCACGAGTTGTCAGGCCAGGCGGATTGGTCAGCTTCACAATAAGAGAGGATGTGATGTTTGAACAAGAATATGGGTACGAAGCAAAAATGGATCAGCTGTGTCGGGAGAAAGTCTGGAAACTAGTGTCCAAGAGTGAGGAAGACTATCACAGCAAAACCGACATAAGGAAATGCTACTTTTACATTTATCAAGTTATGTAGGATTTTACTCAGACTTAACGCGATTCAGCCAAGGGCAATTAGAGGTTTTGTTTTTTCAATTATTTGTTAAACTTTTCTTTAGAAGCCGGGCTTACAATAAAGCGGACATCAATAGGACGAAAACTTGTAGACGCTCGTGAAGTTTTGCTATCCGATGGAGTCACTTTGAGTCTCCTGATATAAAAATCTTTGTCTAGGGTACTTCTAAAGGCGTCTCTTCCTTCAGGCGAGGCGAGCAAGGACAGAGAATATTTCCGTAGTGCCGGCTCAAACATGGCCGCCGTGTGACAAAATACTTTTTGTCTACAGTGCGTCACAGTAAGATACCCATTTTCCATAAATTGTCTTAGGTAAAACATATAACCACTGGATAATAAGTTGAAGAATGAAATACTGAAAAATCGGCTTTTGAAAGGAATGTATTTTGATGTCATTGATTTCCCATCACTCTTTGTCGTTATTTTAACACGTTTCCAAGCTACATTGTAGAAAAATGCTCTGCAGTAGCAAATGATACTGCTCCTCTATTTCTGGTTGTTTTTATTGGCTGTTGGTGATGAATCACATTTGTTTACTGTGTTTAGTAAATATGGTATTTATAGAGGAGAATCTTCCTGTTAATACATGTTGGGCATAAGGAGACTCCTTACCAGCCTCTATTTTCATCTCCCTTGGGGAGCTTCATAAAAGACACTGAGCATTTTGAGATTTCAGGAGGCGAAGCCTAAGAAAACGTCAAAACAATGGAACTGCATTTCTCTCGAGCATTTGTTTCTGTCTCTAGTAGCGCTTAAGTCCTTGCCTACTTTGGAAGGTAGTAATTCGAGTCTCACTATAGTTACATTCACTTGTTTTTAACAACGTCTTTGACTAATAAGGATAATCAAGTCTTTCCCTTTAAGGCAGCTTCGGAGTTCATACTTTACCCGGTTTCTAGATTTTCGGCGTCGGAGGCTAGTTTCGCACGTCATTCGCATGCCGGTGGCAAATGACGGCTATTGACCCATCAGTCCTCTCAATGTCGATACGATATAGTTACATATGTTTATCCTTCATTTTTTTAATAATTGTTTTTTCGATCCCTTAAATCTCATACGACCCTCATATTAGAAATTCATAGCTTTGTCCTTGACTGATGGTTTCGTTTGACCTAAACCCAAGGTGTTGATCTCTTTCCTGCAAGTCGCTCTTATTTCATTGCATTACTTATCTTGGATTGCTCATCGGGTCTTCCTCCATATTCTCTTTTGAATTAATTCGCTACTTCCTCCACCCAAATACAGTAGCCTCTCTCTTTAATTTCTCTCGTCCATGGATTGTAATCGTGCTGCGATTGTCATCGTCTCGTTTAACATTTGCTGGTTCCTTACTCATCAATCATATTTTGATGACGAAGTTTCTCCCTTAACTCAGATACTAGCATCTTCTCTCTGTAAATTCTCTCGTTGGACTCTTCAGTGGTCATGTTCGAATATCTAAACGACTGTTGTCTCGATGGCGGCATCCTTCCATTGGGAAGGGAAAACATCTCTGGACTTAAATGCTCCTTACTGTTACTGCGTTTGGGTGAAAGACATGGTGAGTTGAGCTGAGGAAGGGGATGAGTATTGTTTATACTGTTCACCGATTCTATAATTTTAACCTCCATTGCACGGGGAATTCTCATATTATCCACGAATGACGGCGAGAACATGGCTCTAGAGTTGGTTTCACTGTCATGCAGTTGTTCGATGAATGCTCTGGGATATACATCCACTGGGTGTCTCAAATTTTGGTGCTTTGCATGTGGTCTGGAATTACAAAATGAGACATAAAATTAGGAAAAAAAAGAAGCTGCTACTTCACGCTGTCTTTTTCTTTTTTTTAACCACAGTGTACTTAAAGTTGTATAAGTTACATGAGCCACTACACGCTCTCTTAAGACTCCTCTCTTTAAGATTTCGAGTTTATATGGAGTCCTATCGTTAATCAACCCCCCTCTCCTTCTCCTTCACTTCCGCCTCTTCCTCCTGTCAAGTAGGTTTACAGGTATTAATTTGGAAAATTATCTTGAATTTAATAGCCAGACTCCGTTTTAAATATCACAGGTTTTTTTTAAGCAAAGGAATTAATATTACATGCAATATCTTTTTAAATCTTATAACAGATCTGAAAGCTTTAGAAAAGAGAAAAAAGATTCTAATTTGATAGCCTTCCCTTTTAATAATTGTGTTTTGATGGTGCAGTATTGAATGAAATTAATTCTAAAAGGAATTCTAAAACAAAATTGGAACCTTTTATCAATGGTGCAACGCCCAACATGTTGTGATTTTGGAAAAACGTTTTTGTGATTTCCCCACATTTGATCAAAGCTTTAGTACATACAGGTTGCCTTGATCTTCATACCTTTTATTTTTACGCTTCTTCCGAGTTTGGCAGCAAACAAAGTAGCTATAGTAAATACCCACTATGATCATAGTAACTGCGAGGAAACCGGCCACACACCATACAACTACCATCCAAAAGGGAATTTCTTTCTCTAAAAAGAATAAAACATAAATTTGAAAAAGAAATGATTTGTGTCCTAAACTTCAAAGTTATCACGGTTGTTCAGCAGGGTATAGTCGGAACGGTTTTGAAAGCGGCTGAAATCAAAGATAAAGATTACGCAGCAGTATATGTTGGAAGCTCTCTAGTCGTGCAAGGATTGCTGTTTTGGTGTTTACAAAAAACTTACAAAAAAACATAACCAAGAAAATATGTAACAGGATTTCATATGCATTCAGGGTAACGAAAGTGGCGTGTTTCTGAGGGAGTGAATAGAGAATTATTTTAAGTTCTTTTAGCGAACTTTCTGAAAAAACGCCATTATAAGTAAAACTGCATTCTTATGTAGACTGATAGTTAAATCTGATACCTTTATAAGAATGCTCTATTTCACTGAAAGATATTAGCAAATAGATTGTGAACTGGATATTTCTATCGCGTGGTAGTTGGCAAAATGAACTATCACATATAGCGGATTGTCAAATTGTCTAAACGTTGTACACATACTAGTATTTTACAACGTAACAAAAGACAGTCTCTTGTATTTCTCTTATTTGATTTATAACCACACACTGTTGGACAATTCGCTTTACCAACTGCCTCTTACGGAATAGATAGCGAGCAGCGGAGCCAATCAGACTGTATGTCCAAATGTTTTAATAAGATGATAAAGCCCTCTGCTCATTATAGTATGAGGAAAGTGTTTCGAGTCAGTAAGATAATTAATTTTGTCACCTTGCGCCGCCGTTGTCGGCAAAGAAGTAGTTTTATTGTCCATGCCAATCCTGGGGAGAGAGAAAAGTTATTAGATGCAAACTAGAGATCATACGCAAAAATGTTTGTTTCGTCTTATTGAGAGCATGGGACCAAGATAAAATTAAGAGTACACACGTGGAATCGAGCCTCATACCCTTAGCCTGTCCTTGGCTTTCAGTGGTAAAATAGAGCGGAATAGGAAACTATGCGATAGAAGCAGCAGAGCGGATAAAGAGTGAGGCTTAGGTTGTGTCACGAAAAGGGAGGAGGCCTGGGTTACGCGATTAGACCCAAATTTCCCTCTTATACACAATCAGACCAAAGTCTCCCGCTGTTTTCGCTCTGCCGTTCACTAATCATACACCGAGTTAGTACAATTAAGTCAATCGGAATTTTGGAAAGACACGGAAAGCTCAGATCAATAGAATCTCGCTGATCAGTTCGCGTGCGAATAATTTTTCAACTTTGAGCAATGCCAATGTGCGAGAAGTCTGGCACTGATAATTTGTGCCAGATTCCTCGTAGAGCTCTTGCGGGGTCGCTTCGCTCAAGGCGTCAAACCTGAAAGTAATCGCGGACTAAGAAACTCCCGTTCGCAATGCTGATAATAAGGCCTAATCACAGGCAATCTGTACTTTTAAAAGTTAACAAAAAAAAACAATGTCCAAGACCGCTTTTTAAGATTCTAAAGATTGGTCAAAACTTTTAAAAACTGTTATCAAATTTAATACTGAATTCGTCTATGGACGCCGCCATTTTGAAAACGACTTAGCAACCTGATCACGCACCCTTAACTACAACAGGCAGTGATTTAAGAAAAAACAGTGAATGGAGCAACGCAAAACTGATGCAGTCACGCACTACTCAGTAAAATTGCTCCGTACCAGCTGGATGAAAATGTGAAAAATAAGCTGACAACGGACAATTTTTCTGTCATATGTTATACTTTAGTATTGATGACGATTCTTTTCTATCCGGTCTACTGAGCTAAGTTAGGCAAGCTCGCCAAACCACCAGTTCTGGCGTAGTGTGTTTATCAATGAGTTTGATTTTTTTTCTCTTTTCTTCTATTCCTAATTATGAAAAAGCCTGCTGCGTGTTCGTCACTATTGTTATGGTATTATCTGTGTTTGCTTTTTCAGTAATGCTATGTTTGCGGAGAACAAATTCAATCTTTATCTTCTAATACGCTAAAAGTCATATGTACTCCTGAATTGGTCACAATATTGACATTTACAATGCCCTACTTTCCTGAGAAATCTGGTTATAGAATCGAATATGGATCATAGAGGCCTAAAATGAAGGTGAATATTTGTTACAAATCGTTCAGAGCGGTAAGAAATGTGTATTTCTCATAATGCGAGTAACCAAGATATCTTACTTTTCAGTTCGTTCTGTATCCATCTATTTAGAGAGAAAATGATTGAACGCTTGAGAAGGTTGAATAAAAAATGTTACTCAAAATCTCTAGCTAGACGCAAGAGAGTAGAAAACACGTTCTGAAGACAAATGAGTTGGTTAGATCCAGAAAATATTTCGCCGTTCATTCGTGAAAATTTATGAACTTCGCTACATGCAGATCTACATTTAATGTTAGTTTTTGGAGGATAAAGATTAAATCTCGACGATACATGACTCAAAGAGGAGGATATACCTCTATAGTAGTTAAAATGAATGCAATATTTCTATCAGGGTAAAATTCACTCCTTAGCGACGATATGTAAATTACGCCGAGAAAGTATGTTCCAAAAACCAGTTATTACAACTGAATATAGCGTTTGCCGGGAATTGCCCATTGTTGATTCCGCTCACAAGTTCCGCAGGCATGTTATTTTACTGATGATAGGATACATTTGACCGAGAAATTATCGCTAAATTTTACTGTAATCATTTGTTTTTCTCCAGGCTACATACGGGTTTTGAATTTCCGCTTTCAAGATAGATTTGGATAATAAAAACATTGCCGCAGAGAGGAAATCATGGTTCGATCAGATACGAAAGGTCAGGAACGAATTTAAAACTTTCCTTTAAAATACATGTCGGTAGGGAGTGAAAAAATCACTATAAGCGGAAATTTTCCCTTTTTTGAAAACTAAGGGGAAAACATATGTAATTTTTTACTTAAAATGCACTGTGATCGTGAATATCGGCGGAGCGAGCGAGTTTTGAGTGACGCTAAGTATTAATTAAAACAGTATTGTAAAACAAATGTCGCAAACTTCGTTCATGGTTACAACTAAATGAATCGAAAGTAAGCTACAGACTCTGTTGTCGTAGTTTAGCACTACAAGCGTTTGTTTGCGTTTCGCATCGCGTCGGTCCGTTGTCTTTCAGCATCGAACACAGCTCAAAAATCATGTTATTGCAGCGTCGTTCGGCGCTTCGCTTTCGCACCGATAACGTTGATATGTTGAACTCACAGCTCTTAAATTTTTCCTATATCAACGTCGATAAGCTACTTCTCTTTATTGTTATTTTTATGTCGTTCGTCTGATAATTCGTTTTTTCTGTCATATCCTTTATTCTCTCGAGTCTCGTACAATATTTACGTTCGTAAAATTTTTCACTCCTAAAAACAATGTTTTAACATCTAAAATCGTTTTAGGTATAACATCAACTCGACCAACCTTCACTTTCAGAAATCACAACATGATGAGGTTTGCCAGTACGCCTAATCTCCAAAGAACAGCGAGCGGAGGAGTCTTTTAGCTAACGATAATAGACACACTCTTTGAATAAAATAGCCACGAGCAGAGTTTCCTCATTGACAACTCCAGGTGTAAGCGCCACATGCAGCAAAACACTGTTTGCTAGATCTCAACCTATCCTGGCTGTCTTTAACAAATGTAAATGAAATTCTCTTCCTTATGATTCTTCTCCGTCAATAGAGAAAAAAGAAATTTCTCTTTTCTCTGATGCGGACGTATCACTGCCAGCCTGAATGAGTGGACATCTGAATCGTTCAGGAACGTATTATTATCTGTTGTTTTTCAGCGGCGGTCAATGATGTTTGTCACATATTTGTTTTCGTGCCAAGACATTTGAGAGTTCGATAATCGAATAAATTCGAGGGAAAGGGGTAAATAACCAATTAATATTCCTCCTGTTTGAAAAAGAAACGGATTCAGGTGCTAACAAAAAACATCAAGCGGATGTGAGGAGTTCGCGAAAGCTCTGGGCTCCAATGTAAGGTTCTGAATTGTCAATGGCCATTCGATTTTTTTTTCAAAGAAAGTTTTGTTTTCAATTCACGCTCAAACTATTGTGTACGTTCTTTAAAAACCAAGAAAGCATAAGAATGACTGCAGGTGATTTGACCAAATATGGAAACTGCCACAGGTTAAAAACATACCCGAGGCTTTCAAAACAAAGATACGCCATATTCATGCACGCTTCGATCCTGTTTAATCCATTTATTCTGGAACTTTGCTTGTAGCCCATTTCATAGGAACAAACGTAAAGGCTACCCTTGACTTATTATTGCAAGAATAATAATGATTATAATAACAATGAAAATTATCATTACTGTCAACACTACCATTATTTTTTAGTTGGCAGTTCTGTTCAAAATGTGAAATTTAAATTTCGCCCTCTACGACAAACTTCTCGCTCCAAACGCCATAAAACCGTACTAATTTACATAGCTTTGTAACTTGTTAATGAAACGTTTGGGAAGGATAATTATTTCGAAGTGTTTTAATATCATTTTAAATAAACCTTGTACGTCTCTAAAATAATCTCTAACACTACGTCCAAAATGAAAGTTATTAAAGAGGCTGAAATGATCACAGCAACTGGAATACAGCAGAATTAAAATCCAAACTATTACCTCAAATTATTACACTAAAGTGAAGGAGTGCACAAGCTGTGAGAGAGAGGGATTATTCATTATTATTCTTCAATGTCGATTTAATGGTTGATCAGTAGAAAAGCGGCGCGGGCGAAAGCAGAGTTTCCTTTTTTGCTGTAAACGTCGAGCGTAAATAGAAGTTCGCTTCACAATTGCCGTCTAAAAGCGGCGCACTTTTTTTCCGATTTTATTTGTCTACTTTTGCGTTTAAATGCAAAGACTCGTAATCCTGCGAAATCAATTTATGTTTTTAAATATTTCCTTTTTTAAATCTATGTCATATATCTAATAATTTATTCATGACTACCTCTTATTATATATTCCTTTGACACGTAACAATGACTTGACGAGATCAGTAATTCCAACAGGAATGGATAGAGTGCCAGTGATACAAATAAACGCTGTTGCCATATGAAATTGGAACGCTGAGTGCGGAATGGGGAGATCAGGCTGTAATGATTTTTCAGCCGACAAGAGGTTTAAGTGTTCACGAACCAGAGGAGTTTCCGAAGTCGTTTTTAAATTTGAATCGGGAACCCTTCTTTGAATAATGGATAAATTTTGAAAAAAATTGGTGCAGCGGCAAATGGGACATGGCAGACTTAAAATCAAAATTATTACCTTCCACTTCCGGCCATTACTACACTAAAATAAAGGGTATGCAAGCGCAAGCTGTGAGTAAGAGATTATTTACAAATTTTCTCCATGTCGATTTAGTTAGTGATAAATAGGAAAGCGGGCGAGCGCAGAGCAATCGTTTGTCAGTCATAACAAAGATTTACGAAATGAAAGTACAGTTGAGGGGAAATCTTCAACAAATGAAAATTGTGCTTTGTAGTTCAGTTAAAAAAAAAATTAACTCTTATCGGCCAATGAAATTCGTTTAGGTACACGAAGGTTGAATATGAACATGACAATTCATTCAATGCATTATATTTGTCAAACTGCCGCTTAGTGTTTTTATGGTTTGAAATAAGGCTGAAACCACGCACTTCATCGCTTGTAATATTTTTCAAATACAGCAATCGCAACGATGACAATTACCAGTTTTGTCACCGATCGGTTGTAATAAGTAGTAATCGCTACCGCAAATTGTCAATCGTAAGTGATAGTATCGACTTTTTTATTGATTCTATCATTGATTGCATCGACCCGATAAGGTGTAATCCCAAAATGTTTTTAAAATAAAAACATAAAAAAATTGGGAATTTTATTTGATTTTATAAATCTTTATTGAAAAGCTTTTAAACATGCACTTAGTATGCCTTATCACACCAGTTACCTTTCGGTTAAAGTGAAAAAAGCATGGAACTTACGAATTTTCGTCGAAGAATAAGCAATCAAAAGTTCGATTGTCTTGAGTATTTACAACTTATTAATTATAGTGGAATAATAAATCCCCCGTTCACCGGTTTAAAGTACAATTCGAGCGTACTCGAACGTACCCTCGCCAAATTATTTTTGCAAATATAAAATTATTTTTTGATTGTCCCCTTTCGGCCTCCGGGCCATAGACAGTTTTGTCTATATAATTTCCTGTGATATGATTGGTCTAGAAAAACACGAAAAAAACTTATATGGCCGAGTTTGGATTGAGACGATACTTTTTTCTTTCGAGGAGACCACGTTGTAATGCAAAGGAGATGGCAGAACAGAATTCAAAATGCAGAAAAACAGAATTTAAAGTTGATCTGATCAAAAATTACCTTCATTGCCACATAGTAACTATCATTTTATCCCGTTGCGGAAGAGTTTCTTGGAAAAACAGACTTGTATTGTTTTACTATAAAGCACCCACGAATAGTGAATATTAAAAAGCACCCGAAAAATGCGCTAAAACCTACGTGTTCTATTTGTGTGGTCTCCTTCGGTTTTAATTCTCAACGATTTTGAACGTTACTTACCAAACTAAGAATTTGTCGGTTTCAGTTGCACTGTGGAATAACATCATCGTCAATAGGTATAAATGGTGCCCAGCGGTTCACTTCGTTAAACTCTTTAGAGTCTCGCATATAATCCAGTCTTGCTCGCAGTTGAGCTTGTGACACATCCGCTATTTTTAACACACAGTTAACCTCTTCAGGTGGTAAGATGAGTTGTCCTATTCCCATTTCAACATGAGCTGCAATGTGCACCAAGGCAAATGTGGAGTTTCTTTGACACTTCAGTTTTCAGCAGATCAGCGATAAAAGCGATGAATAAATCAGAAACTTCCTCAAATGTGCAGCCGTAGGTTCATGCGTACCTCGGTCGCTTTTCTGAATTGTTCCAAACCACATTACGCGCTACCAAGATTGTTGATGACGGCTCCATCTGCGTGATTGTCTCCGACTTCTTTTATAGGGCTTAGAGAAAGTTCACGGTACTCGACTGCTTTTTTTAAATGTCCCTGGCGATGACAATAACATCCGAGATTGTGAAGGGTCGCCGCTGCTCTACGCTTGTTTGAAATTTTTGGTGAACTTGTCAATGTAGTAGTCGATCAAGAATGATGTTTTATGTCTCGTCTCGAGCGTGGGATAAAAAACATTTCTGAGTTATTAAGAGTAATCGATCCTTATAGCATTGTATACACTCTCCGATAGTTTACGACGGAGTCTGCGGGCTTTCTAAGGGAGCTAGCTACATACACGTTATTCCAAGGTTCACAATTTGCACTCGTGCTTTGTACTACTGCGATCAGCTTTGTCGAAAGGGTTTAATGAATCATATTGACCTCTAGATCCCTAGGTTAAGTTGTGGTGGACACATCTGGGATTGTGTTTCTTTCGAATCAATTTGCATAACCGTGCACCATGCGTGAGCTATATCAACAACAGGAATCCTTCAAGTTGAGTCCGAACAGCATTTTCCTGATCACTGATTTTTTCTCGACTTAGTCGATTCCAACCTACCTACAGTTATGTCTTTTGTCGAGTACTCTAATTTGCTGTATCAGATTAGCGTAGAAATCGATTGGGAAACGGAACGCGGACGATTAATGTTTATTATCAACAGATCTCTTCCTGATGACTCCGGAGACGATATCACAGACGTTATTTCGTTGCTTACCAAGATGGAGGAAAAGAATCTCCTGGGGATTGATCGTCTTAATGTATTGAAGGATCTGTTAAAAGGAATAGAAAAATGGGATCTTAATCAGAAAGTTGAAAAATTCGAAAATAAGAGGAACGACTACAAGCAGTTTCTGGAGAAGGTAAGTCGTGCACTCGACGAGTCCAATGAACTGCAACGACTCATTTTAATCTGCAGAAGACAAAATCTGATAGCCCATGAAAGAGAAGAACACATCGCAGATGTCGATGCTTTGTTCATAGAGTTGGAACAACAGAACAATCTGGGAATAGGAAACCTTAGTATCCTGAGAACCTTAGCGACCGAAGTGGAGAAACCAGACTTGACTGTGTAGACTTGTGGATGACTTCAATGAGAAGAGAAACCAAGAAGAAGATGCCGAGAGGAAAAGGAAAGAGTGGGAGAACTACAAGCGAAGAGCAGGAGGTAAGGGATAGTTTCTAACTGAATTCCATTTTTTCGACGTAATTTAGAAGTTCCTCGACCAAACGCTTAGTCCCTATAATCGAAGATCGTCATTCGAATTTTGGGATCCTTAGTGTTATGTTAATTTCCAGACCTCAGTTCAACCGATTGTCTGAGAATATACTGAGAACTGTAAAATCAGAAACTAAGCTGACGAAAATGACATGCTGGACTATATTGTTAATACGAGTAAGTAGCCTCTTTCACTTGTCTGGATGAAAACCAAGTTTAGGCGCTCAGCCAAAATGCAATGGCTACGTTGTCAGTTGCGAGGTGAGTGTTTCCCAGCTCGATATTCCTGAGATTTTACAAAGGTTTTTTTTCTTAATTTTAAGCTCATAGTGTCTGTAGATGCGAGAACCTTTTTTTGTAAATTTATTTTTTATTTTACGATGAGGGTAAAATTAGTTACTTCTTGAAGGAATCGATAGAGTGCTGCTAAGACATGTTTAGACAATATGGCAGGCGAATAAACATTAACCTTGTTCCCAGGACCTCCTCTTTGTTCTTTTCAAAAACGGCGAGACGCTGTTAAGAGCTAGTTTAAGGAGAATTTTGCATGTGAGGTATACAACATCCGTGCAAATACATGTTACTAGTTACCGCAGGATAAGACTCCAACGAATAAACAAATGCTTGAAATTTGTCTTCAACTGCGTTAAAAATTCGGCCATGGACGCTGCTATTTTGGAAACACCTTCGTAACCTTGTCACTCAGGAAAAAACACTGCGTAAGTAGTTGAGTCGAAAAAAGGTTTTTGTTGCTTCTATTCCTTGAGACAGGAGTGAGGATTTATACCTCTCTGCCGATCAGTTCATCCATAATACTCTAAAATCAGCTTATATATTCTCCATTCTGTTCAGTTATGCATTTGTTATGGCACTGACAAAGGGGAATTTAGTTAACAATTAGAGGCTTATTAAGTTTGAGATTATTTATTTAATTCATGGGCCTAATTTTTGATTCAGCAGTGACACCTTAGTGAGGCATTAGATGCTGTAGTCCTCCGCATGGGTTAAATAGTTAATTTACCAATGATCATATGGCCCTGCTGATCGTAAAGCTAAGCCAGATACTTGAAAAGTCTGCAATGAGAAGTATTTCATAAATCAATGTTCACGATTTCTCTTCTTGATTAATTATTGATTCAATAATCCATTTATTTAACATTCCAGTTAAGGCTGCTTCTGTTCTTGTCGGTGGAATAAACATTGTAGAAAGATTAATTGGAGGTAAGAGTGTGTGTTAATTTATGTGCCTGAGTGACAAATCCAAATTATATGGAACCTGAAACCTGAGATAGTACAACCCGCTACACAATGCATTTAGGTGGCTCACGCTGCTAGAGTCGCTGCGTAGTCATCGGATACTTAAGGCTAACATCGTAACCCTGACCAAGAAGTTAAATGCAAGGATAGGAACCAACATATAAATCTGCTCCATATCTGGTAAATAAACATAGAAATTGCTGAGTCTGGACAATAATTTTTAATGTGCTGTCCTTGGAAAATTCTTTTACACTTTCTTGTTTGTGTTCGAAAACGAATACTCGATGTTTATACTGCCTTCACGTCTCTATATTCATAGGCTTCCTTGTCGTCTCTCTCAGAAACGTTTAACTTTCGAAAACAACAATCCACTCAAATCTAGTCTTTGCTAGGCTCTCAGTTGCTGGAGATAAGCAAAGAAGCAGGAAAGCGATTTACGCGAGGAGTCTGTGAAGGAGTGCTCTCCTTAGCCAACCCTCCCCTAACGTTGGTTTCTTTGCTTAGCCCCGCTTTTTCGGTGGACTTCACATGCGGCTAATGTAAACCTTATGATTTCTACATTTTTTACAGTTGTCACGCCTCGCTGTACTTTCCGCAATCTTACTGGTGGTGCTGTGGTCGTCACTACATGGATGCTTCTCCGCAGGAGTCCCAATCTGGAAGCATTTGCTGATGCTATCCAACGAACTGTTCTTCCGTTGGGAACCTTCTTACGTGCACTTAGTGAAGGATCAACCCGATTTACGATTCAAGCAGAAAACATTTCTGCTCTTGACGCATTATGGCGAAGTTATCAAGACGAAACGCTACAGAAAAATTTACAAGAGTTTCTTGTTACTGAGGAAATAAAGCAGCTGGCCGGTGGTGAAGTGACGTTGACTGTGCAAATCGACGAGGATGAATACAGAAATGCTATGTTGGATTTGATAAATTCAGGAACAAAAGGTAATTACACCTTTAATATTCCCGCCGTTATGCATGACTCCTTGTGCGAGATGAATTAGAAACATCTCTTGTTGTGTCTAATAATGGGACGAATCTTGGCATCTGAAAATTAAAGTTGTTGCGTGATGATCCATCTAAAATGAAATGTTTCCTGACTTAATCTCACCTTTCATGAGATAACGGTATTCGATTGAAATTGCATTCAATTTTGGCCCGAATAAGGAGACTAATTTAGGTGTTGACAAAGGACAAATATACGGTGAAATCTCTAGCTAACTTGGGTTGGGGGAAGTTACCAAGTGAGTTTTGAGAGAAACTGTGTTCTTTCGTCTCTTCTTCCAGACAGCATGCACTACGAGTCCTCATTATTGTGCACGGGTTAATTATATCTACATGAGCTGGATTTCCTTTGTCTTTTTCGCAGGGGAATCGATCTCAATACTTCTAAATTATTTGATAGGCACTCTTTGTTCGCAAATGTACTTCTTTATCGCTATATTTGAGTTTGCGCGAAGATCCATGGTGCAAGAATTGAAATTGTAGACTTTATTTTTCTATAAGTGTAGAGGTGTATTTCCCCTTTATTGGCCTGATCTCTCGCATGGGTTTAAAAAATACCTGTGAATCGCAGTATCATTTATTGTGTTTGTTTGGTCGACCGACAGATGAGCTGGGAAAGATTACTTGCTCATAGTCGACTAAAATGTGCAACGGGTTGTTCTTTCTCTTCACGTAGCAACAGGTTCTCGAATTGATTATTCGAATGACATCCGCAACCCCTCCGCGAAAACAGGCCTGTAATATAAAAAGCGTTGACTTGAAACGGGTCGATATTGCTTTTTCTAAAATTCATTCCAAAAGCAACTTTGAGTAGTTCTCAAAAATGTAATATCCAGATAAATTAAGTTACACTTACCTTGTGGGTTATTTCTCACAAGAATATGTTTTGTTTCCGAGAGCTTGATGATTATTCAAGTAAGGAACAATGCTCAATGTCTCAATTCTCTTTTGCAAATGAAGTAGAACGCACCGCTTCGTTCAGCATTATATTGGATTTTTTACTACATATTTTAAAGATGAAACTTGAAAAAAAAAGAGGATTAAAAAGATCGAGCAAGTTCTAATTCAGACCCTCTGAATGAACGAAACATGACCACAGCGAATACAAAAGATCCTTTCCAGAGAGGAAGTTTTTACCATTTGACAGAAAAGTGCGTGTAGAAGAAAATCTTCGGGAGGCTTTCAGCGAAATCGCACCGGGTTCTTGTCTTTATCAACGTGACAAGATAAAAGCTTTTGTATGAAGCCAGGTCTATGAGTTAAGGAATGTGTTTAACAACAAAAATAGTAGAAAAACTTTTCTTTCTTTTTGTCACGAGCGCGGAACAAAGAAACAAGTGTACTACACCATGAGGAATCGAGTATTAGATATTTGCATTTCGAGGCTTAGATCCACTACTGAGACTCTACGTTGAGTTAGGCCACGAAGTGGTTGGAAACTTAGATTCAAAACTTATCATCTTTCTCATTCTGTTCATAAATCCTCAGGAGACAGACTTGAAAAGCTCGACCAGGTTGAAGGTTTAATCAAAGATGCCACTGAGGATTGGAACAGCATTCAGAAAGCATTCAAAGATGCATACCCATGCGAAGGTCATATGATCCATTCATTATTTTCAACGAATTAATCATAATTTTAATTAGTTGATAAGTCGATTGACTTCCAAAGCTGATACTATCACCGGCGATACAAATTTTCTTTAAAATATGTAATACACGAACAAAGGGCTATCCAGATGAGGGCTTAATACTGGCTTGATATTCTTGTGCAATGGAAATCTTCTTTCTGTCATATTTTACCTGATGGCTATGTGTGGCTGTGAGTGATAATGGTTGCTAGCTTTTAAGATTAGGTACGAGATAAGAAATTGAATCATCATCTTTCTGTGACGTAATGTGTTTGAAATAGCTTTTTTTCGTGTAATAACAGTAACATGATAAAAATAATTTTAGCAGTGCTCAAACTGTAAATACATTCATTCAAAGGCGCTCTAACTTTAGTACTACCAGATTCACACACCTATAACCCATGTTACATGTTTCTGGTTCTACAAAATACTGAAGTAAAAGCTTTCCTGAAAAGAAAGTTAGGTCTTAAAAACGGCAAGGCTTTAACAGGTTCTAATCGATAATGGTAGTGAGTTCCATGCAACGGGTGCAGCATGAGGGAGGCACGATCCCCAAGTGTAAAGCAGTGGACTCTTGGAACAAACAGAGGACGAATAGAATAGCATAATTAGGAGTTGATGACAATAGATCTTTAATGTAGGGTGGATTAAGACTGTTTCACGAATTGGAGACCATCATGTTTGGTATCAATTTTAGACTAAGAAATATTGCATTCTCAATTTTTTTCTAGGATGTGTATTTAGTGGCATTGAAGAAGAATTGACAACGATCAGAGTCACTTTAGGAACCTTGAGAGAGATGGAAAAAGAGTGGATGAATGTAGGTCAGTCTCGTAAAACAAAATGGTTGACTCTGGAATAGTCACCATTAGGAAATATGAGGATGGTACCTTACTATGACAGAGCGGCTATGGGCTATACTATGTAATATTATGTACTTATCGATTAATTGGGCGGCACTGACCGAAAGCCAAATATTTTCCCGTCCAGCCCGACCAAACTTAATCAATAAGCATTTTATCATATGACCATTAAGTGCTGAAAATTTCAAATAAACTTTTGTTTCAACCTAAAAGGACGTACTTGTGTACCAAAGAGGGGCGTTTACTGGAAAACTAATATCTCTTGAAATATTCTGCAGTAAATATCTTTCTTTTTTGTTCAAGGGGTCAGAACAATATTCTTTGAGAAGCGTGACGAGAGGTGGACAGGAAAGGCCCATTTTGCACGATTGGGATTTCCCACTTTAATCCCGCCCAATATAAAAAATTGAGAGCTTGTGCAGCTTCCTAATTAATTTCAATCGACGTTTTTGACGTTCACCAATCAACATTGTAAACCTATCAAATCAGCATTTTTTTTTTCAATTTGTCAAGTAATTTCCCAGCGTTCGAAAACAAACAAGTCATTCTTGATTCTCATCGCAGTCGGCGAGATCTTTTTGTCATATAATAATAAATCCTTTATTGGCCAAACAGTCAGAGCGCCCTTATTTATAATTTGTTTTTTCATTAGTATTGTCGTAACCCTTAGCATGTTTATTCTTATTTAGTGGCCTCTACATTCATATACTTTATATTCTCCAGCTAAAAGGTTAAGCTAAAGGTCAATAAATGCATATTAGCCTCGTTCTTAAGGAACTCAAATTGGCTGCGGTCCATAAAACGTACAAAAAAAAAAAAAGAAAAAAATCGGCCGATATCCAGCCATCTTAACCTTAAACAGCTCAATAACGCGTACGGAATGTGGATGAGAATGAGCTAATTAGTATAAACCTGCTAAAAGTCATGGCATTGCTAAAGCACTTACAAATGGGGACACTCTTTATGAATTAATGATGTCTTATATTACTTATAGCTGTATGTTCATTTGATCTGAAAAACACACAGGTTTAGAATAATATTTTCAAATGACAATATTTTTGTCAAAAAACCGAAAAACAAAACAAGAACAATAATTATCAGTTAACTTTGAATGTGAAGTTTTTTTTCTTCAATTGAGACTCTCAATTGAAAGTAGTTAGCGGATGAACGTGATTATGACCAAATTGTTATTTCATATTTGATCTGACTGAAACTTGCACTTATTCAGAGCTTGATAGCTTACCATAATGGCACAGCATAACACCCCTTTTTAAATGTCAGTCATCCCTCTTCTGGCAGTTGATTTGCTTAAACTGGCATCTGGCCTCTAAAAACATTTGGCCTCTTAGAGTCATTCGTCCTTTTATCGGAATAAGTCTGTAGATTTTAAAACACCTGAAACAGCAAACCCTGATTTGAACAATTCATGAGCAACCATCAGATTTCTCTTAGACAGTTTGATGTCATTATCTTGGTCAATCATTCTGTAATCGTAAATACTGTTTTTTCCTTTCTTTTTCGTTGCATTTTAGAATCTATTCTGACATCGTCAAGCAGTGCTCAAGCGATCATACAATTATTGGAAAAATTTCTACACTCTGGTGAAGATTATTTCCGAAAACCAACCTCTCAGAACAAAAAAAGCATCCGTGGCTTGGCAAGAAAAGCTAAAAATTTAAAAAGATTGGACGTGTTTAAGCACTTAAGAGAGATCACACCAAAAGGAACAACAGGTTTGTTGTTTAATGTCATTTCCTTAAATCCTTTTCAATATTTATCTATTGATTTTTGAGCAGTAATAACCGTGATGCCTTGTTAACAAAATAGTCAGAAGGCCTTTAACATCGAACTCTCTTCAATTTGTGAAATTCAAATAAGAAATTATTTGTATGAAATAACATTTTTCAGTTTGCAAGACACGTTTGGATATAACTCATGTCATGTTCAGTTGCAAAATAATGCTCCTGTTAGTATTTGATCATACGTTATTGAATTACAACGTTAGATTACGCTCTACAGATTCGTAAATTATTTGCCAAATAATTTACGAATCTGTAGAGCGTAATCTAACGTTGTAACTCAACGGAAGAACGGAAGGCAAAAGTGGTATTTTGAAGTAACCCAGGAAAAACCAAAACAGACAATACTTTTCGTTAAACTAATTTCGCACTAACAAACTTTTTAAAGTTTTTAATTAAAAATAGACTCGGCAGGGGAATCATTTAAAGAAAATAAAATTCTCTCCTTGGCGTGGACATGACAGTCATCATCTGTTCCTCTGTTCCCTAGACAACAAGCAGCTTCTGTTTCAAGCAGTTGTAGAGCGTGAAAGACAATTGATGTTAACGAAAAAAAAATGACTGCGAGAAAACTGGGCTATTGGTCTCCTCGCCCAACCAGCTAAGAAAAAAAGTACCAACTGGGTCGCGTTGCTGAGGTTAATGATCTCGAAACAACCGCACCATAGTGCAGTGAATTTATTCCGTTTCGCTCAACAACAGCTGAAAAGAGAAAAGAGTAAGTCTCGAAAAAGAACAAAGTTCCAAGTTCTTATAAACGCAGCGAAAAACCGCGAGCCAATTCACGTGATGAAAAAATCAACAATGATAATGGAGGGGGCAGGGGTCCTCTTAAATTCCATAAATCGCAGTTTGAAATCATATGACTCGTGGTGTCGAGCCTTTATTACGATTATAAGTCTGTGTATGAAGCCATTGAGATAAAGTCAGAATTTTTTCTCAAGACGATTCTTCCTTTATTTCAGGTCCTCAGTTACCTGATAGCTTGTCCGTCAAGGAGATTCCGAAAGACAGAAAACATTATGTTTCATTATCTTTGGAAAGTGAGTAGTGTTTTGTGAAATAGTCGTCCAATAGCAGCGCCTACAGGTAATACATTTAATTTGTTCAGTGGCCTGTTGCATGTTCCAGGCCATTGACGTTCACGGTGACTACAACGTTTTCAAATCCAATTTGGATTAAGGTCACCCAGTAAATTAAGATGTGGGTGCTTCCGGCTGTGAAATTCAATTTGCGACCTAATTGCAACCGGCCGAGAGACAATCACTTTTATTGAACCAGTAAACTTGTGGAGTCACCCCGTATCGTGTGATGGACCCCTTTGCACATGTGTTCAGTCTCATGCTTTGTATCGCTTTTTTGTTCCTTAGGATAAGAATTTTCACGAGGCTTTTTGGGAATACACAGAAAACTAAATATCATCAAAAAAAACTTTAAAGCTTGGTCTTCTCGTTTAAATAAGAAATATTGAAACAGCAGAACAATTTCTGTTATCACCAGTGAGTCTGGAATGGTGTCTACTTTTACATCTATTCAACTCCACATGTTGAGTGCATCACATAGACGCATACTAGAAATAAAACCATATTTCAAATATGTTATCCGCTTTTCATTACAATGGTCCATGGGTGTATCCCTGCTAGCAGTTCATAAAGTAAGTCACTTATATAACTTGATGGTCTAGCGGGCGTTAGATAATAAACAAGTCATATTCCATGACGCACAATAAAGGTGAATGTTTGTTTTCTTTAATTTAGTGGCGTATTACAAGATGTGGGATCGAATGAAGGAACTGGATTTGAGACGAAGCGACATGAAATACCTAGAGAGGACTTCCTTAATGGATTTTCTCGTCATGCAACATGACATAAGAACAGTGGGTGAACTGTATGACTGTCTATGTGAATATGGGCTGCCTCGCCTTGCCGATAAACTTTAAATATCTTAACGCTACCAGCCCACGAGGATCTTTCGATCTCATGTTTTTTCACTCTATCCTATGAGATGATACATCAGCTCACCCTTACCACAGGGAATAGATGACTTGCTGCTGAAGTCATTTATGCTGATTTGAAAAGATCAACTATTCCTATAATTTTTCCGACTTGGTCAGTTAGGTAGGGTTGGTTACCATCAAAGTCATGTTAGTATCGGAAGGTTATTTAGTACTGCACATAATTGAAGTTGGCATTGAGAAAACTGATTTGCCTTAGCATTGCACTGACATTCCGGTGAATAATCATTTGACGCATCTGGTAGCTTCAATTTTCGACAAAATTTTCAAGACATCAACAACAAAACGGCTGAAAATCAACATATTTTGAGAACATGTAGGCAAGATTACGCCCCCCTTTGCAATCAAATTGAATTCATTCATAAAAGCTGTAGGTGGTTTCAGCATTGTTAAGGGTTGGAGGAAAGTTCAGAAAGTCGTAATAAGAATATGTTTATACACACATATTTCATAAAGCCTTTATCTCCAAACAAATTTTGATCAGAATAGTAGGTATTTGCTTTTTAGATAACGATAACTTAACTTCATTTGCACTTTTTATCAGGCGCAGTTGGATAATTATACTGTGTGAGGTTTTCGACGCGCATTGAGGCTTTTAGGCCAGAATTTAGTAGAATTCGAATAAATGCATTTAAACATTGTGTTTCCGGTATCGGAAAAAAGCAAAATATCAACCCTGATTTGCTCACTCTTCATATGTTAATGCTTATATCAATGACTGTAAAATCAATAGCGATTAATTCGCATTTGTAGGAAATAAAGATTAATTCTAAAACAATTCTTCTCATGCGTTTGAGAGAGAAATTAGTCTCCACGAATGCCAGCGCATAAGGGGAAGCGAGAGGGAAAAAATTGGATTCCACCCCTCCCCCCATTGTTCCATCACCTTATACGAGGGCCACACGTCAGCAAAAAGTCTGTCGTCAAATTATGCTTTCAAAATGGTTTATCATCCAATCGTAACTCTCCTTGCTCACATGAGTGGGTATATGTTGAGAAAAACCTTCATCTATGCAGGTTTTAGAATGAACGCGCTCATTAGAGGGTCTCAATGGGGTGATGGCTTTCAGTTTAAGGCTAACAGTTAAAAATTTTGACCAATTTACGGCTAACGGTTAACACCTTTCCATTGTTTCCACCAGACATATTTTTTACGGTTAACTTTTTTTACGACTAACGGTGAAAATTTGTCAATTTTTACGCCTAACAACTTAATTTTTTGGCCGTTTTACGGCTAACAGTTAACCCCATTGAGAACCTCTTATTATATAAGTTGCAACTTAAACATGTTTTAAACAACTTAAACAACGTTTTCTTTCCACTTCAATGCAATTGGTTGGGTTCCTATTTGGAATTGTTATGAGCGAAAGAGCAATTTCCTCAACTCTTATATAATAAACAAGGCAGATCCGGTGTTTCAATGATGCTGGTTAATTTTTTTTTTACTTCAACGTTTAGTTGGCTCTGCTATAGTTGTATATATCACCGGGTTGAATGTGTCGACATCTCGCTCAAAATTAAAGAAAAATGGGCCACAATTAGCCTGCCGGACCTCGTAGCGCCCGCTTTCCTGAGTTTCCGATGGCCAAAGTTCAACTTATACACACAGGTTTTTGAAGATTAAAGATTTATCTTCAATTTGCCCCAATAAGAAGGGAGTTTGAGAATGAGAAGGCCTGTCCCTATGCACATGAAAATGCACAAAATTCTAAGAGCGATTTTCTGAAAACTCCAAGTACCTGCCGAGGAAAGAGTAATTTTACTCTCACAGAATCTGTTTCGCTTTCTAAACATCAGTCAACATGAACCCCTATCCTTTTGAGTTTGAAAGTTGTCATTCGTCGATGTACCCAAAATGGAACGTTTCGAGCGAGAAAGCCATTGTCCTAAGTCCAGACAGGAATAAAAATACGCCTATCGAACTAAACAATGCCCATCATGGAAATACTAGCACTTGTAGTTTTTTCCACTTTTGCGGCGAGGTTAAATATTTTGATGCATCAGCTGGCATTAACGGCCGTAACGAAAATTTTAGAGACAGGAGCTCTTTCTGGAGCTTTCTAAGCCGTATACATATATGTTTATATAGACAGAAATTTGTCAACGAGCTCTTGAAGTATTCTCGGTTGAATCTTTGAAAGGCAAAATCTCGCTATAAATGGGTGTGTTCTCAAAATTCGTAATGCTTCAGCTCCGGAAAAAAAATATATACATAAATATACATTGTGCCTTTGACAGAAAGTTGGACGCAAATGGCAATCGCAGTTAGCTTTTTAAACTCGCTGGTGGAGTATGATAAAACGAAACATTAGCACAAACAATAACTTGTGAGGCCATTGTTTCTTAATTCTGCACTGACAAGTACGTTTCGCCGCTAATTTTACAGATCTATACTTTTTTCGCCACCACGAATAAATGTCGTAAAGACAATAGACATAAGCATGAGGATACTACTTTCGATTCAATTTTCAACTCGTGTTTGAACCTGTAATTTTTTAAAACTTTTTCTCTTTTAAATATTGTTTAATGATTGTCCTCTGACAGGAAATACACGGCGTCTTTTTTTTTTTTTTTTTTTGGTTATTTAATTCGGTAACCTCTGCTGTAACTGCATGTAATGTGGGTGTCTTTAAGAGAACTTGAGATAATACTTGGATTTCATTTTAGTTTACGTCACAGAAATAACTTCCAAACGTAAATCACGTTTCCTTTTAGTTTAAAAGTTGAGTTGATGTTGTTATTGGCTATATCAAATGGGTTGAAAAGTTTTAGATGGTGTTTCCTCATGTTTGCAAATAATTGAATTTACTGAAAGGTGGAGTTGTTGCATCATGTTAACATGAAACGCAACAATAAATTTTATTGATAGGTAAAAAGATTTTTATTTGACCATCTACTGGCAACTCTTTGTATTATGTTTCGACCCAACTATTTTCCACAACTTGTGAACACTATTACAAAATAATTAGTCAGGGAAATGGAAAATGTCACATATACCCCATGTAATAAGCTAACAGGATTTAGGAAGGTGTATGTGGGAATAGCCCTTGCGAAATGGCTCTTGGAATTCCTAGGAATTCCTAGGATTTTCCTAGGAATTCCTAGGAATTTATTCCTAGGAATTCCTAGGAATTCCTAGGAATTCCCAACCATAACAACTCTGGTTCTAAAAACCTAGAAATTCCAAGAAATTCCCAGAAATTCCCAGAAATTCCCAGAAATTCCCAGAAATTCCCAGAAATTCCCAGAGATTCCAAGTTTATAGCCAACAGGACTTGGAATTCCTAGGAATTCCAACTCAGAGAACCAATGACTTTCCCTGAAAAGCTGTAAATCTAAAAAATTCCTAGGAATTTCTGGGAATTTCTGGGAACTTCTGGGAATTTTTGGGAATTTTTAGGAATGTTTAAGAATTACTGGGAATTTTAAGCAAAAATTTGAGGCTAATGATATAAAATAAATACTTTAAATTAAAAAAACCCAGCTAAAATTCAACTGTAACAATACATAAATTGTAACTGTAACAATAAATTAGAATGAAGTTATCCTAAACTGCAAACTTAGCTGCTGTTTGTACTGTTTGTATTTTTTTTCCTGGGCTCACAATGAGTTGGCCTTGAATGAGGTTGTCAACAAGAACCTTGACCATTTTGTATCTGGATTCCTTGACATCTGAATTTGAAAAAAAAATATATATTAAAATATGTATGTTTAAAGCTCAGACCAGGCTTTTAAGATGGCTATGAGGAAAAGGGCATTCATTGGATTCTCAAATTGAGAAATCTCTGTTATATTGAGTGACTTTTATATTGGAGTTAGTACATCTCTCTCATGGATTTTACTAAAAAAGGGCTGAATACATTATTTTTTTTTTTTACCAAGGAGCTTCTTTATGTACTAAGGTTTGTTATGAATCTTGAATGTTCCCAAACGTGACTAGAGGAATCTTGAAACCTTGCTGATAGGTTTATTTCATTGTAAAGCATAAGCTTAAGAAACTGCGGCATGCAAGTGACCGATTCGATTCTCAGAATTATTCTAGTTTCAGTTGCGCCGAGCGTTATGTAAGCTTAATTCAACCCGCTACATCTATTATTTTATAAGATTTTGATCTCGTAACGAATATCGCAATTTTTACTCACCACAAACTTTCAAAATCGTAGCTTTACAGATGGCCACTCGACCCTTGTTTGTACCAGTCCATATGTCAACTGTTGTCCCTTCTTTTAACTCCACGGCGCCAACGACTTTCTTCTCTTTTACAACACTCACGCTATTCTCGTTTCCCCATTGAACCACAATAATAGCTATCTTTAGAAATGTTATATTAAGCAAAACAGTTGAGAAAAGCGATCAACCGACGAAAAGTACATTCAAAGATGAGCGCCAAATGGAGTCTTCTTTGTTTCCGATCACGGGCATGATCACGTGGATCTTTTAGGACTTGTCATTGGCTAGCAAAGTGAATCCGCTGGCTTGCCGATTGCAGTGTTAAGATAAGCGCACAACTTTATTCTGACTTCTCCGACCGGTTCTCTGCTTCTAGAAGATGGATAGCTTGGTGATATAAATAAAGATGTGAGCTCACTCTATGTAGAAATAATCGACAAGAATCGATCGTATTACAAATGCACGATTTGTGGCCGAAAGTTGTCGAGGAAACAAAGACTCGAAACTCACTTGAGTTGTGTTAATGGCAAAGGTGAGAAATAACACAAGCCAATCACAGTTTTGAATGCGACTACAAATCGTCTTTTACCCTCATATTTATAAAAGAAGGATACCACATTCGGAAGTATAAGAGATACATAGATGATCCCAGTGTACCAGTACCTAAATCTACAAAGCTTGACCGTAGCAAGCGTTCAGCAACACGTTCCAACACCGCCATCTCGATTCCTCAGTCAGTCGTTTCCACTGAACTTAAAGCAGTATTGACAACAGAGTAGAGTGCGTATTACAAAGGAGAAACATTTGTACAAGAGACAGGAGTAGCTATATGCGATTACAGAGGTGCGTTGGAACTCTGGTCCATAAATAGTTATGCACTGTATAAAACAATTTTGTTGATAGCTGACAGACAGAGAAGAACAACAAGTAAACTTAAGAGCTGTTATTATTGAAGTGTGACTATCACTTTTCATTTTTATATAAAGAAGGACTTGTAATTTGCACCAAAAATAAAAAGATGTAATATTTTTTTGGGAGATCCAGTGATTGGGACATTTAAGAAATTAAGTTATGAAAGGAAACTTGGTTGGTACTTCTCACTACTAACAAGTCTTGTTGACAAATATTTTCAGATCAGAGTTTCAAATAAAGTAAATTGAAGACGTCATTTAAAAGGTTTTTTTTCTCAAAGGGAACATTGACTACCTCTGTCTCGTCTGTATGCCAAATGTTTGCAAAGTGTGTGGATGATCCACAAGTATTGGAACTCTTACAAAAATGTTTTGTAAGAATAAAAACAGCAAAATAAATTACAGCAATTAGTCATGAAAATAGAGCAAAAAACTGAAAAAAAAAAGCAGCAACAACAATCATGAAAAAAGAAAGATTAATTAGGTGTTGAATTTGTTTGTCTAAGGCATGAAATTTCTACTAAAAGTATTGTCAACAAAAAGTCTCTGACAGCGTTTGAGGCAACTGAGCTTGACTGTTCCAAGGTTTTCTAACAAAGGCAACCAGTAATGTAGGTTAGGGAAGTAAGATAACAATGTAATTATTGTTAATTATTGTGGAAGTTGGCAATTT